AATATATATATCTTATTAACCAAGCGCGAGGGCCGTACTGGGAGAATATCGGCCCGAGGTCTTGACAGTACGGACCGAGCGCAGCGAGGTCCGTACAAAAAAGACCGAGGGCCGATATTCTTCCAGTACGGTCCCAAGCAAGCTTGGTTAATAAGAGATTTATTATACGACTAAAGCTCAAAGGGACACAAGTGCGGTATCATTCGGGACCATTCGGGATAGTGCCCGGTCCAATACTTAGAGAATATTGGACCGGCAATAGAGCATTTTGATTGGTTGATTTTAGTTATTGGCCCTCTGACTGCCCGAGTCGTGTAATAAGTAATATTATTGCAAAGCAGTTTCTTGATATTTGAGATTTTGCAAATAACATACACTAGAGTCTGTTGTCTACAGTTGTAATTTCTCATGATTGGCTACTGTCAGTAACTTGATTTGGTTTTTGTAATATTGAATTAGAACTTTATAAACTAGATTGTGTATGTGTGTTAACTGCTATGTATTCTTTACACTTCTTTGACATTATTTCAGAGCTGAAAAGAGTTTCCAGCAATTTGAGTCACCTAGCAATCAATCTATAGTGCTAAATATTTCAATAAATTTTTACCTTGCTAACTTGAACAACTAATTGAATCTCAAAGCAAAATTAGTGCTACAGTGTATTTGTCTGGAAGATATGGAAGCCATGTCAATAAGTTTTCTATCAATTATATCTGGCATAAAGTTTAACCAAGGCCCACTTCATGACTTTTTTTTTTAGCTGAAAAGTGCTCTCAAGTTGGCTGTCAATGGTATAATTTATGCAATAAATCATAACCTAAGCCCATGTTACATTTTTTGGCTAAAAAGTGCTATGAAATCAGATGAAGTTGTGTGTATGATAAACCTATCCTTTTGTTTTAATTTGATGCTGTCAGATCAGTTGATATAGTTGTCTTGTTAAATCTTCAATGTAAACAGCAGTCTCCATTGCTCTACAGATGACAAAAATAAGGAAATCAAGGGCAATGTTTTGTCACAAATTGGGAAAACCTTTTACCATTACAGTTATTTTAGATTATAGAAACCAACCTTGCATATTCTTGACATGATACAACTCATTGGTGCTGACAAACTGTTTTGTGGAAGTTACAAATCAAATTAACTCTACCTCGGTGAAAGTGATTTTATTGATGTGGTTCCTTAATAAGGAAGGTCAGCCTAAGTTTTGTTCTAGGAAACTAACCTATTCCTTTGTACTAACAGGCTGTCAGATTATACTAAACAAAGATTTAGAAGGACTTGAAGTAACTCTACCAAAGGCAACCAGGAATTTCTATGTAGATGGGCATGTTCCACAGCCCCACTAACCAGGAATTACTTTTAATAAAATGAGTACTGTGTAAGAAATGAGTATAATGAATGTCCTATTAAAAAAAACATTTTGAGTGAAAGGAAATAAATATTTTATCAATGATGGACATCTACATATAATTTAATGAATGGCTTCAATCAGTTACTAAATATCTTTATCACCAGTTCTTATAATTGATTCCCCCCCTCTTCCCCTCCCCTCCATTATACTCTTTCTCTCTGCTCCAGTGCTTTGTGGCCTTCTCTTTCCCTTCCCTCCAGTACATTCTTGCCAAGAGGCACAGTGAAACCCTACTTGGTCCTTTTTCAATACCTGTCACAAAAAAATAGTGAGTGGGCCTCAGCAGTGGTTTTGCAACTGGCTTAGTTATTCTATCAAAAGTCTGTTGACTTAAATAGAACATTCCTTGCTAGAGTAAGCTGTTGTTTCGTTATCAACAAATCTATTGAAGCTTTAAATTCAATTCAATTTAATTTTTTATATTTTTGCAACAGCTCAACATGTGATCTAGTCTAACTTGAAGCAGAGAATATATTTGTAGATAGTTACATTAGACGCTTAAACAATGAGGCCCACAAAGAAGGTGGAGGGCTATCCTTTACTGCTTGCCCCCCCCCCCAGGGAGGTTGGGCCAAGGAGACGAGATGAGTCATGACTAAACAAAAGTAGTTTTAGAGGGAAACAAAAGAGATACGAAAAGAAAGGAATATGATAACACAAAAATTAACCCCCAAAGACTGCTTACAAAACAGTGTCCTTGAATCAATCTAATTACTATTAGAGCAGGCTACGGTTTTCTTATAAGGTCAATTATTCACTTGCATTGGTAGAATGTAGAACACCTGTATTTTAAGCCAAAAAGAAAATTATTTAAACAAGCTCAGTAGTTGTACACTGAGAAAAGAAACCTTGCTCTACATTTGTCAAACTCTTATACTCAAAATTCTGTTGTATTTCTTAGGGGCAAATACCAGCTAAGAGTTAAAGATTGGTATTTGCGCAAAACCACCATTGAAAGGATGGGGGATCTTGAAACACCCCCTCACCTCCCCCCCACTCTCCAGTCACCGTTTCCCTACCAGACTGGGTGATATGACGGTGTTTGTTCCCAGTCGTTAAAATTGCTCGCGCATATCGTCGAACTTTTGTTGGTCTTCCCGGCTATCCTGGTTATCCGAGATCTTTTTCGATGCAAAAGTTGGGCAATGACTTCAAAAATCAAAAAGGTAATTTGTCTTTAATTTACAAGGGTGTTTCTAATCTGTAAATGCGATGAATTGGTAGAATCATGTCAGGTCAAAGAAAAAGGGGTGTCACCAAAGCTTGGACCCAAAACCTAAGACCCCTCGAAAACTAAGACCCATCGAAAAACTTTTGGGTACGGTATATTTAAAAAAAAGAAGAAGCCAAGGTGATCTGTATAACCTGGAGGAGCTACAACTTGGGAGATCGTGAATTTTACTTGAGGTGTTAACATGCAGGCTACTGAGTTGCAAAATTAAACATTGACTATAGACAAGTAAACTTTTCACTGCAAATAATAATAATAACAACTTTATTTATCCTCGAATTTCAAGGTAGCACGCAAGTGCTAATATCTCCAAGCAACAAATAAATTTACACCGAATATTTAATTCAGAAAGAAAAAGTGAGCTTTCTGTTTCTCTTTTCTCATTAAATAAAATTCACCACGTATTAGTGTGGACGGGGCCTGAATTAACGAGTACTCAATGTAACGAGTGACTCAAGTCAGCGCAGCAGAGAATGCTTTCGATGTACGCTTTTGGAGCGAAAGGCCGTTTTAACGTATTCTGCTAGAATATGTTGCCTGTTTTCAATTTTCGGGAAACTTTAAGCGCAAGTTTTAAGATCAGTTTATCCGATCGCGGCTCTCGTGCGTGACTTGCAGTAGTATTCTTCAAGCAATAAAGTGTTTAAAGGACAACAATTCATGTTGATTGCATTGATGTTTGTAAGCAATATCACAATTCAATTGTTCAACCATTATACGAGTATTGCGATACTGTCTGGTCCAACTCAGATAAAACATACTTGGATAGGCTGTTAAGATTACAAAAACGAAGGGTTAGGGGACCATGCAACCCCATACATTAATTATGCATTCCACTTCTTTGTCTTTCACGACAAAACTTTAAAAACAAAGTCTACTAGTCTAAGCGTAAGATTGGAGAAGTAAGCTCTGAACAGCTCTTTTAGGAGCTTTAGGTTGGTTACCACTAACTGAGAGATGGACCTTCCACAAATGTCTTCAAGTTTTCCGCTGCATAAATGGTTTTTGTCCATCCTACTTATTGAATTTGTTTTCTCGTAATTTGGATATACATAATTATAATACTTGGGGACGTAGTAATATTCATTTGAATAGGATTTCATATAAATCAGGAAATAGATCATTTTCTTATGCAGCCGTGAGCTTTTTAATGACTTACCAAATCATGTAAAGAATTCTGAATCGATTAGGAGTTTTACTTCAAACTATTGGTTTGAGAAATGATTGTATGTAATTTTAGTTAATTGTATGTATATTTAGCTTTTATTCTTATTTATTTATTTAATTAATTTAATTTATATATATAATGTAATTTATTCTGTACACAGCTTCAATGTAAATAAGTGACAACTTTTTTAATTCTGTGTATAATAAAGTTATTTATTTATTATTTATTTATTTATGACCAGCTCAGTTCATCTTCTTTCATGCGGTAGGATAGGAAAGAAAGGCAACAGCCACAGAAATCCGTGGTGTCTGAAGGGCAATCATGAGAGCAGTGTAGACTGTGCATGAAGTCTCAAACAAACGTCCATAAGGCGCAGTCCATTACAAATCCTGATTCGCGTCAATTTGAAGGCAAATCCTGTGACACACAATTGATTGCAAAAAGGGATCATTTGTAAATTTATTTTAACATTCATTGATAAAAATACGAATCAAATATTGTTTCACACTAGATAAAGTATTTAGGTCTTAGCTTTTGTGGCACCCACATGAAAATACATAGAATTGTTCGCTATCGTAAGACCTGTTAGGAATTTGGGCAAGACTGTTCTCCTTGATGTACAATAGGGACTAAACATCAGTGGCTGCTGTTCTTTAGATACAGCAAATTGCATTATCTCCTACATTACAGCGGTGATTTGTTCCTTATGTTCTTGTTTGCGAGATTCCTAGACTTTGCTTTAGTGAACTTATCACTTCAATTTTTTAAGGTTCCTGTTATTTATAACAAAAGAGTGCTGATGCAAATCAGGTCCTCACAGCCTAATTAAGGCTTCACAGCAGTGCTTGAAGGACTGTCCTCTATCAAAGAAATGATTATGAAAATTATTAAATGTAAATATAGTTAAAAGATGATGATAAACAACTGATAGGGTAGCCAATTTCTTTCCTTCCATTACAAGGAGACATATTATCCAGTTTCTCTCAGATACTTTGATAAATGGGTTATTCATATTTTAGGGCAGACGTTTTTTGGGAATATGTTTAGCCTGGCGCGAATTACAATTTGCATCAAGGATATATCAATGGCATTGGAAGACGATTGAAAACCCACACAGCTGTCAAGCAATCGACCATGCGACGGACGTATCGCAGCTATAAAAAAGGGAAAACAAACTACAGAATCACAATTTAACAGCGCGCAATGTTCAGAATGCGTTTTTGAGGGATCTTTTGATTTTTTCTTTGCCGCAAAAGCAAAAATTTCTAGCATGATAGTCAAAATGGCCTTTTGCATGAAATGCAGCATATGGAGATCGAGAATTCTCTATATAAGTAACTAAGTGTTGAGGACGGAATTGAACTATCGTGAAATTCTCAAAAGTCATGACTGGAACTGTATTCAGGTGTTGGGTTATTTAATTGCACTGTAATTGGCCATGAATTCAAACAGGGGTATTAGTTTTTGAGTGCTCTTCAAATGCGAAAACCTAAACCATGAACCAGTCTTTCGAGGGGTCTTAGTTTTGGTAGGGTCTTAGGTTTCGAGGGGTCTTAGTTTTCTAAGGGTCTTAGGTTTCTAGGGGACTTAGGTTTCAAGGGAACTTAGTTCTGGAGGGTTCTTTCAATGTATTTAGTCACTGTTAATTACACTCTTGGTAATTCAGGCCCCGTCCGTACTAATGCGTGGTGAATTTTATTTAATGGGTAAAGAGAAACGGAAAGCTCACTTTTTCTTTCTGAATTAAATAGACAGTGTAAATTTAGCAGTGAAAAGTTTACTTGTCTTTATTCAATGTTTAATTTTGCAGCTCGGTAGCCTGCATGTAAACACCTCAAGTAAAGTTCACAATCTCCCAAGTTGTAGCTCCTCCATGTTGTTAAGATCACTTTGGTTTTTTCTTTTAAAATATACCATACCCAAAAGTTTTTCAATGGGTCTTAGCATAGTTAGTAGATGGTCTTAGTTTTCGAGGGGTCCTAGTTTTCGAGGGTTCTTAGTTTATAAATAAATAAATAAAATAATCAGTTTATTTAACCCTTTGGTAGTGTTAAACACAAAATTACAAGGGAGACAATAAAATTCACTCAATTCTACACAGACCAGAATAAACTTAACATAACAAGAAAAAAAAAACAATTAAGCCCTATTGTAACTGTGAGTAACAAACTTACTAAGGCGGTCTGTTCTGATGAAGCGGAATTGAGAACAGGAAAATCCAGACCTTAACCCATACCCATGAGCGACATTCGTGGGCTGTGGCAGCAGGTGTGCAAGGAAGCCAGACTGCTAGATGTTCAATATAAAACGCCTGCAAGCCTCATCACGGCGCACCAACAGAGTAGGCAAGCCACAGCTCACGAGTGCAGACATCTGAACACTTTCCACCAACTGAACCAGACCAGCAGGTAATGCAGCCCACACTGGAGATGCAAATTCTAAAATGGGCCGCACCAGGCTACAATAAACCTGAATAAGATCTGCTGGTGGGAGGCCTGATTTCCTGAAGACTCGTAACGCAGAGAGCCGCTTGCGTGCTTTCTTCACAATTTACTGAGTCGCAGTGAATACAACATGACAAATTGTGTGATATATGGACACCGAGTAACTTATAAGATGACACCTGCTCATTAACACTGCCTGACATCTGTAAGGGGGTAGATCCGAGGGCTTATACTGTAAGAAATCTATGCATAGTTCTTTACATTTGGATGGGTTTAGCTTCATACCATGACTACTGGCATATAAACAAATATCCCTTGCTATAAAGGGCAACATGCTGGTTGAACATCTAGGAATAATCTCTAAGACTGACAAACATACTTTACTCTAGTTTTCCAGTCCTTCACTAGCTTATTGATGAGGACTGCGAACAACAGAGGGGCTAGTCTTGTCCCCTGAGGAAAACCGCCCCTTGGATTAACGCTCATGGAGAGAACACAACCAATTTTGACTTGTTGCGACCTACCCGTCAAAAAAGCCCCAATCCGTCTAATTAAGGCCTCATGTACCCCTAAATCATGAAGCTCAGATGCCAAAACAGGATGATCCACCAGGTCAAAACCTCTGCTAAAATCAGTAAGCAAAATAAGTGCATAGCAATGGCCGTTGTCAAGCTCTTCTAGGATACAATGTAGCAAGTAAACAAGCGCATGCCTGGTTGATCTGCCTGGAAGAGCAAACTGTTTTAGATCAATTTTATCATAGACCTGTGATTAAATAGGGGGGCTAATAACTCGAAACCTTCAAATATTTTAGCAATTTGAGAAGTTAAGGTAACTGGCCTTAAATCGTTTTCGAGGGGTCTTAGGTCTTAGGTCTTAGCTTTCTTGACACCCAAGAAAAAGACTAGGTATTAGTTATGAGGTAAGGTTGCCTTGTAAATTATACCTTGTAGGTCACTTCACTATTATCGATCTTCTCTCCATCAAGGAGTATTAGTGGTTACTTGTAAACTGTAAAGAAAACTGGATAAATGTCGAGGGTAAGGTGCTGTGGATGAGTAGCCTACCCGGCCCAGCCAAGGAGAGTAACAAAAACGTCACTGTTGCCATAGGACCTGTGGGACACGTTGTCCCAGAGGGTGTTCAATTAACTTTTACTGTACTATAGATCACTGGGTATTTTTTTTTCAAGAGTTGAAAAGATGGTGGACCAGTGATATTTCTGAGTCATTGATATTATGCAATTCATTATCCTAATGTAGATATTCATGGGTGTTTCAGTAACTGTGTTAAGCAAAACTACAGAATACATCAATTACACCTAATTTCCACTGAATATTAATCAGTATACTGGTAATAACATGATTTTGAGTGTAATTTGGTGTAATATACATTTATAAGTAAACTTCTCAAAGATGACAAAATTGCACAAGCCTATAGGGCGAAGGCAATTTGTAGTCTTTGAAAAATTTTGAAGAAGACAAGCAGTATGCAGTTAAAATGTTGAGATACACATTTCAAAGGACCACATTGTGATTCAAATGATTGGTGGTTTCACTTTTTTATTTATTGTTTTACTGATCATAAATCTCCCACCTACCTGTACATGTGAGTTATTCTGTAAGTAATACATCAAATATTTTCCTTCTAAGGAATTTAAACACAAGGTTCTTATCATTGGAAGTGGTGTTATTGGTCTGACCACTGCTTATTTACTTCTGGAAAGAGGGTCAGTAGTCTTTCTTTGTTTGGAAATATTTTAAACCATCCAATAGTTTCCTTCCCTTGTATTTGGGTTGTTCAGCCTGGTAAGTTATCCCGGGTTGCTGTTAATCTGTGGGCATACAGTGTATACTATTTATCTGACTCAGTCTACATTCTTTTCGCTATTAAAAAATTAAAATGCATTTGTGCTTAAGTATTTGACATTTCACTCAAAATGTATTGCTTTTATGTTTTCCTCAAAGTTGAAATGGATTTTATGTTTGAAACCTTCCTGTGGAGTAAAAACTTCTTGATAGGTGCAAATATAGTAACATAAATTATCTCAATATCTGGATGCATGGTTATTAATTATTAGAGTGCTACTACGACGAAATTTTTGCATTTTTTTTTCCCAATTTTCTGGGGTTAACTTCACATGTAGACCCTAAACTATAAGAATAAGCTTAAGTTTCTCAAATTTGACAACGTTATTCCTTAAAAACAGCACTGCGAAGACATTAAAAATTCCTCCGCCATTGCTTGAATGGCACACTGGAGAGCCCTCGAAAATAACTACAATGGTTTTAGTAGAGACATCATCGACTCACTTCGACAACGTCACGAAGGCATGCCTTTACAAGAAATATGCAAAAGAAAGCTGGGGATCAATTGTTCCTCCTTTCCTGTGGAACCAGAAAAACAACTCTCTCTCGGCATACCAAATTAGCCACATTTGTTGAGTCGTTGACGTCACTTCCATTCTCGACCCAGTTTCTTCTTCTTCGCACGGAGTTCTGTAGTTCAAAGAATGGCGGCCGTTTAGATCGCGAATCTACAGGGAAAATGATATTACTTCTCGATGGAGTTTTGCCTTAAGATTTGGCAAATTTGTTACATTAAGTACTTTCAACCTCTGAGGAGAAAAGAAAAGGTGCATATTTGGTCGCAGTAGCACTTCAAGATTTTAGGGGAAGATATATTGGCAGCTAACTTTGTCTCTGTCATTTTTATAAAGATGAAAAAACTTGAGTGCAAACTGGATAGTAGATTTAGCCTTGCCAGCAATAATGAAATCATCCCTAACTTTCTCTTTACAGTTATCATGTGGTTATCATAGCAAAGGATTTTCCTTCTATTCGACGTTTACCCAAGATTGCTTCAGAAGCCTCTGGAGCATTTTGTGTTCCTCCTGAAGCTGTGGCTCAAGGTGTTGCAGAGGTACCACACAGTGACTCAAAATCTGAGCAAAGAATCTTGAATGAAACTTTGAAGGTTTGAACTCAACAGTTACTGCTTCATTTTATTGCAAGGATTACATTAGGTCAAAGTTCTTACTAAGGATTCAAATCTTTGACCAGCAGATTCTGCAGATTTTCTTCCTTTAATCAATTTAGATTCATGTAATGATTAATTTTACTGACTGACATTTACTAATCAATGAAAACTATTTTTTTCAAATATATTGTCTGATTCAAAGGAATGGTCAGCATATGGGGGAGAAAGATACACCTCACTTTGCAAAGATTCAAGAAATACAGGAGTGTACTTAAGAGAGTTGATACTTCTTTCGCGAAAAACAGTAAGTAAAAAACTAAAATATCTGTAAATGTCCCCTATGGTATTAGCTCAGCTAACTGGGGACATTATCCTCTTACCGATAATTGCACTTAGAAGAATTTAATTTGTCTGCTAAATGTTGCAAAATTAAAAGAACTGGTTGATCATAAGTGAAACAAATTACCCCTCATCTTGAGGAAAACACTACAAAATGTCTATTTGATTTGTATTCCCTCAAGCCAAACACATGTCAGAAACTAGTTAATGAGCCTCTATGGCTAGGTAACTTCTGCGGATAACTGAGCCTTCAATGTTAGAGCCAATTACCATGTTACCAGGTAACATTGACTTTCCTGATATGTTACCACTTTAAGGTCACAGAAATATCTCTCATAAAGGAGTTGTATACCACACACACTGAATAATGTTTATCCCTACTGTCCTTTAGCTACTGCAGATTATGAGATTTGAAATTCATTCAATTCAAAAACTGTCAGCAGATGTTGTTGGTGGAGATAATTTGGAGCATACTAATATCCTTTAAACACTACTGCCTTCTCCTCACAAATCCTACCTTTTCATTTTTTCTTCTTTTGTAATAGGATTGAAGAGAAAATTATTTTTCTTTTGGGAAAGGGTTAATTGATTTTTACATACAATCGTACTTTTTTCGGAAGTAACAGTTTGGTTGAAATAGAATGAAAGAGCTGGTCCCCTTGGGTGATATCTGGCACCTCAGTGGTTGGTATTCCCTTAATTTGAATAGATTGTTGATGGTAATATACTGAAAAAAATTATTGTTGTGGTTTAATGTTTTTAAAGTTGATAATTGTGGCAGAGTATGTCAAATAATATTGGAAGTTTTTCGCCAGATTGACCCTATTATATTGAAGCAGTACAAGCAAATGAAAAGATTTAGAAATTCTATGTCATTGATTAAAGAGAAAGGTTTGTGAGACAACTTCATGAAAATTTGATAGGTGTTTTAAACTAATTAGATGAACCCCGTATCACCTACAAAAATTGTGTTCTTCACAATTACCCATTCAGACGTTCTTCTGTTCTATATATAGCCAGTGATGAGTACTTTTAATTTCAACTGGTACCACTAAGCCTGCTGAACCTTAATGTTAAACTGCCAATGTCTAGTTGGTAGACAAAGTGAGTTTCCTCTTTTGCTGCTGATCATTTGATTTTGACTTAGTTCAGAAATCCCTTGTTCAGTTAAATGAGGAAAATGCTCTGTCACTGTTAAGATTTTCTATTGTAATCATTCATTTGTTAAATGATGTTTTGATATTGTAGGAGTAGTTCTATGTGAATTATTCTGGAAAAAAGTTTTTTTCATCAGGCATGTAGCTGGGAGATAATTTTTATGGATTCTTTCTACTTAGGCTTGAGTGATGAAAATGGTCAGATAAAAGATGCCTTTTCTTTTCTTGTGCCAATAATTGATCCACCAAAATTTGGAGTATGGCTTCTTGAAGAGGTACAAGCTACTCCAATTTTTATTTGTCAGTTTTTCGTGTAGTTTTCATGCAAACAATAATGTTGTTTTCCTCTGACCAAGTGTACCGCCTCCTGGTTAGCTCAATTGGTTAGAGCGCCTGATTGTGTTGTGCAGGAGGTCGAGGGTTCGAGCCCCGGCTGGACCAATACTCATGGTCTTAAAATAAGTGAGGAGAGTTTGCTACCTTTCTATAATCAAGAAATGGATAGATATTCTAGTCTT